TTTTGCCATCTGCCCTCTTGAATTGCCTGGTTCCTGATTGAATAAAATTGACGGCTGTGCGAAGAACTTGCGAAAAACTTCGTTCCAATTCCGTACCGTACAGCATAGCGCTACGAAGTAGGGGCCCCATAAAGGCAAATTACTGGCAATTCCCGTACAAATACTAATAGAAATTTTTAGCTAATTTTTACAGTTAAAAAAGGTACCCAACGGACAAAAATAAAAATATTTTCTTTAAATTCTCCCTGGTCCCAAAATATTTCAATTAGTGGTCCTTGCTACTGGAGAGGTAATTTCATTTCTAGAGARTTACTATAAGTGTTTACTACTGGATAACCTCTCCTATTACTACTTACTAGTGGGAATGTTGTAGTAGTGAGCACTGCAAACTATTGGGTAAGGCTGTTCTGTTTGTGCTGGCACTGCAAGAGGGGCGGAGCAGCACCACCAACAGAACAGCCTTATCCAGTGGAGGAAAAAATGAGGCAGTAGAACCAAAAGGTGTCTACCTAGGCAGGGGTCATAAGCCCTGTACCAAGGTAGGTTATGAGTTCAAAAAAGCGGGTTRTAGTAAACAGTACTTTACAAAGTAACTACTAAACGTAATAGTATGAGTAGTATGTACTAGTATGTACTTATACTTGGTAGTACTASTAGTACAAGTATTTTGCCAACCTTCTTCTTGCTTGGTGCTTTGGTTTTTGAGATATCATCATTCATGTGTTGAAATTGATTCAATTTCAGCTCATTACAATTTCTTCAAAATAGAGTTTAATGTGTTATGCTGGAAAAAAATACATACTGCTACAGATAGGAACAACAACAASAAGAAGATGAACAGGTAGAGGTGCTGGTGGTAGTGATGGAAACCAGATGAGGAAATGRGCAGGCACACCAGAAGTTTTATTCCTCATTCTTCATGTGTACTACTAGTAGAAAAATCTAGAATGTGTACCAGTTTAGATCCTCCCTCAACTTCATTTGTTTTTTCCCTTGTGRTAGTAGTAGTATCATTGGGTGATTACTGTCATTTTAAATTTTCCACTTCAAAAAATTTAGAAAATTTGCACACTACTACTAGTAGCACTAGTAGTAGTATTGGATTAACGAGAGGAAGATTCATACTAATTTTATATACATGTACTACTGGAGCAAGAAACCAGCAGTCATTGAAGAACAAGTAAAAGATATTTGAAAAACACTTCATAAAATATCTTATCTAACCTTGTTTACTAGACCACAAGGCCCTATGACTAGTAAGAAGACCAGCAGAACCATCACTTCTAGTAGTAGGGATAAAACCCTCTAGTAGTAGTCACTCAGAGGACTGACAATTCCAAGGGAGCACAACAAAGTTTAGTACAGATGTACTATTAGGTTGGTTGTGTAGAGTACAGATGTACTATTAGGTTATCTTACTAGGATTATTGATTAAAATATTGGGCCACCATGGTGGTTTGGAAGGATCTAGAAGAATGATTRTCAGCAAGAGCTAGAGAGGTGTTGGGCTGGGGAGGCTAATTGTGCCTTTACTTTTTGGAGTGTGCATCAAAATCAGCATATCGTGTGCAATACATGTGGGAGTGACTATCACATGKTAGATATGATCAAGTTATGTTCACRGGTGAAAGATGGATTACATGGCATTGTCTAATTTGGRTCCTTTTCTTGGTGGTAGAACTATGAAATCACAGTATTGCATAGGCTCAGCAGAGAGATTCTGGCCATGTCATTTGTACATTAGCAATCCTCAATATRCATACACAAAAATCTTTAAATAATTAATAACCCCCTATAACCCCCCACATAGCAATATTTGTGTTTAAATTCCCTTTCAATTCATGTGCTTGTCATTCTTAAGTGTCCGTTGGGGACAAATTTRTAGCTGTTTGAGTGAGTTRACCCTTACTTAATGCTCTAGGTGTATTTTGTACTKTGCGTCAATTCTGGGCCATCTTATTACTGTGTAATGACTGGTCAGATTAAAATTTGACTTGAACTAGGGCTACAGCACATGTGTGAGCAAAACKATTTGGTTGCRAGACTGAAACTATTTGTCACACACTGTTGGGGGGTTATCTTGTGGAATTCTTTCTTACCTCCTACATATCATCATGGGAACAGCGAAAYAAGGATCTTCATGGCTATACGCTTTCACAAAAGCAAGTAAAGCATCAACGAAGCGTGGTGAAGAAAGTTCGGACCTTATTTGCCTTGARATCTCAGACCTGTCCTTCCCATGYCCACCTATTCCCAGCAGATACTGAAGCCTTCTTRTTGCAGACCCCTACCTCCATGCTCTCATATTRCCWTCGGGTCTACGAGAAAATGATTCTGGCRRGTGTAACTCAAGCTACAAGCGCTTCGGTCTCCAAYACCTGCCCTATTACCCAGTMCTTTACACCATTGCCCCATAGTAAACAACCTCYGGAGAGTGTCACTCAAGCCTTGCTGGTCTTTGATGCATACTCCAAAAACAAACAGCACAAACAGCCAGTCGTGCCAGATACTTCTCTGGCTCATCCTGTCAATTCATCCAGTTTACTCCAAACCAAGCTACAACAATTCYTYTAAATCCAGCAGAAAAACCCCAGTYGCCCTTCCATCAAAACTCCTTGGAGGGAAGTGCTGCCCCTCAGAGCAGCTAGAAGCATATTTTCCAACAAAAGCTATGGTTCTGGCCATCTTAGTGCCTCTTCTAGTTCACGAGGTAAAATATAATRTTAAGTTTTTTTTTAATTTGGTCACACACTGGTTGGATTCAGAAATTCAACACGTGCCAGCATGTAAATTGCAGTACAAGCCAGTTTTTTGTCAAAGCAGTCATTGCACATTAAATAAGGACTCAAAATGTACAACTGGTTAGTAYATTTGTCYGTTGCATCTTTACAATAATTGTTCATTATTTGTTATTTTCTTACTTTYGTTATRCACTCTTCACCAGTCAATATGYAATWCCAAATTTTTGTTCTCAAACTCTTCAATCCCTATGCTAGACAAAAACTTTTGATGCTCTTTTCAGTTAATAAGTACCAAAAAATATGCATTGTCAAAATCTCTATTCCCTAGTACTAGTACTACTATACTTTTGGGGGTATACTATTTTTACTTACTAATATGTACTTCCTCTTGTCCTAGACGCAAGTGCACCTTTCTTTCTATCAAAATAAGATCAATATTTGGGTGATTTGAATCATATTTGTCGTACTACTATCTTATTGAATAGTATTTATGCAGCCTCCAAAGAAGTATATAAACAAAATTTTACCATCAGTTCCATTCCAATGGTCATTTTGAGTTGCCACTACTTGCACATGATAGCTAGTAAGAGATAKATTTTTKTGAGACAATAGGCTTTGGGTTAGTATCTTGCTTTCTTATCATTGTCATAGCAGGCATTTTGTTTCAAAGGAGGTTCTCAGTACTATTATGATTATCATGTCAATTGCCTGGGAAATTATTGATGAAAATAATTTTGTAATGCACAAAATTGCAGTTTTTGACCTCTAGCACTCATTTTACATATTCTATCGTATAGTGTTGGCGGAGTGATTCCGGCCGACCCAGTCGTACATTAGCAATGCTGGATATATGTATATGTATATCAATGAATATTCGTCGGACGCCGTACTCCCGCACGGCGTTAGAAAGATCTTTCAATTCTCTTTTCAACCATATGCTTATCATACTTAAGTGTTCGTTGGGCGAAAAGTTATAGCTGTTCGAGTGAGTTGAACCTCTCTCATTGCCCTACGTGTTTTTTGTACTTTGCGTCGATTTTGGGCCATCTTTTTACCGTGTAATGACTTGTGGGATTAAATTTTGACTTGTACCAGGGCTACAGCGTGCACATGCAAGCGTGAAACTATTTGGTCGCACAGATGTGGGATACAAAAATTCAGCACATGCCCGCTGTAAACTCCAGTACAAGTCAAATTTTAATCCCACGAGTCATTACACGGTAATTAGATAGCCAAAAATCTACGACTGGTTCGTACATTTGCCCGCCAACTCTATACAATACAGTTATTGCTTCAATTTCACTGTCTATTCCCTTAAGTACAGTGGGGGACACTCTTTCAGGACCAGCAAAAATGGTCACTTTGTACATCTATTAAGGACTGGTGGAAGTACACAATTTTGAACATTGGCACTTTGTTGAGCTAACTCAACAGCTTTGTTCCCCACCAAAACAGATTTATGTCAATTTTGTTGTCCCTGTGTTACAGGTGAGGAAAGAATTTTTGAACCTACCAAAATTGTGGAATTAGGCAAAGTAAATGTTGGTTATGATAAATCTGAATACCACAATGTCACACAAATCA